AGAGCGGAATGGACGCTCGAGTTCCCTGCAGGCGGCCCTCGCCAGAGCGCAGGCAGCGGAAGCTGAGGTCGCCACGCTGCGTGCTCAGGCGAGAGAGCCCAAATCCCTTCCGCAAACAGCTTCCTTGCAGACCCTATGTGAGGTCTGTGTGCGCAAATTCGTCTGCAGTTCTTTTTCTCATTGTTTAAATGCCTATTAACAGTTAAGTGGGTCGCCCAACTTAGATCCCCATTGCCTGTGGTTACCTCTAGTTTTATTCGTTCAAGTTTAGGTTATTATTTATTTAATTATTTTGATTTGAGGTTAGTTTTATTTTTAGTTTATCTTAATTTATCTGTTTTTTTTTCATTTTATTTTGTTTAGTTTGTTTCTATTTTATTATTTTTTTATTTTATTTACTTTAATTAAGTTCATCTTTATTTTATTATGTATTTTATGAGTTTAATTTTAGGTTTAGTTTAGCTTATAGTTTTTTAGTTACTGCCAGCGTTAGATAACTACTACATACTATACTACCACCATATACTAAACTAACATCACCTGTTCCGTAACACGCGTTCTACCATTTTTTTAAACTGTTTTTAAACCAAATTCTACTCGACAAAAAAATATCGTAACTATCTAGGCTCCTTTCACTGCCACAATCTACTCATAACCTAAGTAAGTTTTAATAGCATTTGGGCGTATTGAATGTGCTTTCTCCACTGACATCTCATAAAAGGAAAGCGTACACGTTTAGGGGTCTAAGTAATGGTTGTACTCGGATCACTACAATCATCAGGTCGAATCCCAGGTTGGAGGTAAAAGGTAAGAGTCATCAGAAGGAGTGGTTTTTTGTATACAGAACTCCCAATTGCTGTCTCAGGTGGCAGCTGCCACTGGCGATGCCAGGGCTAGTGTTGACTGCGTCCAGCCAGACCTGAGAGAGTCTACTGCGTGTTGTGTGGGGTGATGTCGACTGTTTTAGGTAGGATCGCGGAGCAAGTTCAAGTGGTTTGCTATTGGGGTGTAGCAAGTTGCCCGAGGGGATGTCGCCTGCAGTTTTTGCTGCATCAGCCGAGGGGTGTCTTAGTCAAGTGGCACTTTGGCAGGCGTGCTTATTTGGATGCATGTGTATACGCGGTCGTGTGCGTACGTGAGTATGTGGCTGAATAAGCTGAGGTCAAATTTTGGGTTCGCCGGCACGCTGAAGAACAGGGGGCGTTGACGCAGCTGGTGTCGATTAGCCAAAAGCAGCTGCGAGGTTTAGCCTCGGAGGATGGGGGCGCCCCTGAAAGAAAGTATTGGAACAGTTGTCTGTTGGGACCTCGGACAACGAAGGGGAGATAGGCATTGTGGCTGTCCGTCACACATGTAAGTATGGGGCAAAAAAATGTGTTTGGGGAAGAGGCAGCCGACGAAAAACGCATATGAGTACTGTGCATTGTATAGACAGAAGGACGGTATTAACGAAGAAAAGGGGGACGGAAATGGTCATTTCTGCGCAATTAGCCGTCATCAGCCAGCCATCCTCAACTCCAATTATTGCAACACCTAGTCTGATAGTTAGAGGCCCAACCATATGAGCCTAGGTCTCATTTTCCTGCTGGC